ACTGTAAAAAATAGAAATAGGTTACTCTTTTGTTATGACAAAACTGCACATTATGTGCCCTTCTTTAAAATTTTAAGCAATAATGTACGACATTTGACATGAACAATGGCAGATAAAAAAAAAGGAAATATCGTATTTGCACGATTTCAGTTTTGCATTTTCTAGGCTGATGAGACTTATAGTCTTTCGTATCATATTTAAGATTATCATGATTATTACAATTTTTAAAATATGAATCAAGTCGATTTCCTGAAACTAATCCATTTGTGAACACAATTTTTTAAACGTAATTTCTCTCTGTACAGATTTTATACATCAATGTTAATCTTATGCTCCTATTCCCGTCTCATTCGGCCAGACGGAATCCGTATTTGATGTTAAATTTACAAAGAGAATTGGATGAGGGAAAGCTCTTATTTAATTTGTTATCTCATGAATTGGATACCGGGTTGGCGAACAAGCTGGCAAGGCCGGCGCATTGCAAATATGATGATGAATAGAATTACTATAGCGAGATGAATGGTGTCCCATCTATCTCGGGGTAAATAGAACCATAATCTAAGGTATAGAGAAGCAAATGCACAGGGGAAATGCAGTGAATGGTTTGTATCTCATCCCCTTGCCTCATGCCGCCGCCTGTCTTTTTGTCATCTTACTTTATGTCCTCTATTCCGTGAAGGTGTGTAATGCGAATTCAATTCGGAATCGGGGACAGTGAATGACTGGAAATGAACGCCAAGAATCCCAATATTGGGCAAGTCGGGTTACTTTAGAAACGCTCGTGAGAGTATGCCTTCGTAATACAAGGCTACCTAGTTGAAAGTGAATATGATCGCGTAACTCTGGTTAAAAAAAGGAAAAAAGGAACATCTATTTATAGTGCTCTGCAGTGCTCTCCGTACTTTACTCTTATCTTGACTGGTCAGCCGCGAGTATTACTTTCCGAAAGTACAAAACAAAGATCCCTATACAGCTTATCACAACTGATCGAATTTTCTCCGAAAACCATTAATATAAAGAAATGCAGTGGCGTTTTCTAATCGAACCGGTAGAATTTACTGGCATATAAGATCCAGAGGGGCGTTAACACCATCGACATAATAACGCTTTTTTGAACAGACGATATTCCTGATATTAAATTTATGGTATAAAAAGTGCGGTATGAGGTAGCTCAGAAGAATGCTAGTCACGTCTAACCCATAGAGAGGTTATGGCAGCCGTCTGGCCTACCATCCCACATGTTTGTGTGTAAGGTGTCCCCTTGGAGCCCATGAACAGCGAAATGTCATATCAGTAATATATAAAGAGAGACATAAGAACATGGCTGGGGATGACGCTGTGCTGCAAACTCGCAGACCTTTATGGAGGAGTGAATGTGGAAACTAGTTACCAGATACTTAATGAACGAAAAAATAGTCTGGTAGAATAATAACAATGATAATAATAATGCAAATAATAACAATAACAAAAATAATAATAATATAGTGTAAACAACAACAACAACAACAATACAACTACTATACTATTATTACTAATAACAGTGATCATAATAATTACACTAATAGTTAACATTAATACTAATAACTATTTAATAGTTATTTAAGCGTCTACAATATCAGGCTTAAAATAAATACAAATTAACTATTCTGAGAAGGGATATATTTTTAAGAATTTAACTGTTTTTGTAGAATCGTATTGTTTTTATTGACATTATAGCGAATCCTGAATCCGCTTTAGATTGGTTCTCCAGCGCCATGAAACCATCGTTTTACTGTCGTCAACATACAAGCCTTTTCATTAAAATCTTAAGATGGTCGTTACACCATTTGAAAAAAAATGGTACATGTTTTATGCATTATAAACAAACATTATCATAAACACAGGATTGAAACTAATGCAGACAGTAACAAAAAAAAAAAAAGGAACCAACCAAACAAAATTCGAACAAAAGAGAATACTAAGTGAAGTGTTACTTTAAAAGTGTAGGCACCCCAATAATCGTATGTTTTAAATGTTCAATGTATATAAAGGTTCTTAAAGATGTGTGTATCGTACTGCTCGTACATCCATATTTCATTGTCACTGTAAAAGAGTAAGGTACTATTTTCGAGCGGGAAACAAGCGAGGGAAGGGATTTGATATCCTCGTACTTGGAACCCCTGCAAAGCTGAAAGAGAATATAGTAGATAGATAGAGAGAGAGAGTCACTGTGAGGAGGAGGGAGGTCGGCTTAGTGGATAAGGAGGTATGGATGGAAAGAGATGGATAGAGGTGAAGAGCAGTGCACAGGAGATGGATAAGGAGAGATGCAAATAGAGGTGGGGGGGGGGGGTAATACGAAAACTGCGGTAGAGTGAGATTGCGAAAAAGGAAAGACGGAGAGAGAAAGAGAGAGAGAGAGAGAGAGAGAGAGAGAGAGAGAGAGAGAGAGAGAAAGTGAGTAAGAGGGTAAGAGGGGGAAGGATTACAATTGGGATATGAGAACCTAAGATATAGAGTGGGATAAGGGAGATGGAACAGATGGAGAGAGAGAGAGAGAGAGAGAGAGAGAGAGAGAGAGAGAGAGAGAGAGAGAGAGAGAGAGAAAGAGAAGAAAAACGATACAAAGAGAAACAGTGAGAGAAAGATGTAAAGCGAAACAGTAAGAGACAAGAATGGTATCGAGGGGAGATGGAGAGGGAGAAAGGGAGAGACGAGGAGAAGGAGACGGATGGGTTAAGCCGTCAAGAGTAGGAGAGAAGATGAAAAATCCGATATTCAGAGAGGTTATGGAGGAAATCAATCATACCAAGAAGTACACTTGCTGGGAATCGATGCCCAAATACCACACACCCACTGCTATATCGTCTTAAAGAGATGCGTATAGCTGTTCAAGTGATGTTGCGTTGCCAATTTGAGTATAAGCCTTACCGGTCTGGAATGGACGCCTTACAAATCGATATGTATTCCCTTTTCTCCGTCAATAACATAAGAACGATCCTCTAAAGGACAGACATTGGTATTATGAATCGCAACCTTTACATGAATAGTTATCACAAATAATGCAAATCATTTTTTTTAATGTTACAGATAAACACTACAATTATTTAGAATTATTACGTTTTTCTTATAAGAAAGTCTCGTGAAAGATATTTACCTAATCCATTCCAGAGCGACCTAATTTGCGAACCTTAGATAAACTATTGAATAAGTACACCAGGATGTTTTATATTATGTGGAGTGATTTTCCCATTCACGAAGGGTCTAATCTTTAATTCAATCTGATTATGAACAACTTTGTAATCCGAAAACATATTTATGAAGTTCAACTTAATAACAACTCAAAATACCTCCCGCTTATGTTTTAAGGTGCTATGAGTTTGTTTCATTTTGTTTAACCGTTTTGTTTGTTTTAGTAATAAGTAAACTGATGAAGTGGTTTCAGAAATGCATTTCAATCGTAGAATATCAGTTTAAGTGTTATTAAGCCTGTATACTGCCCCTTTAAGAGGCTTTCAATAAAATTGGAGAAGTGCTGACGGCAGACATTGATTTGTACATGAATGTATAGAGCATGATCTTATAATCATTGATCTTCAGGATAAATTCACGCAGTCAAGCAGCGCAATATGATAAAGAACAATCCATCTGCTGTGCGTTCCATCTCATTGACTTTTACGCACGAGAAGCACGGACAATTATGGAAGATGAAAGACAACTTTAGTCTTCTCTTCTGAAATTAAAGTTACACATTTTGTATGAGGGCTTTAGGAGTCTCCAGCACAACTGTGAAAGGTCTGGTTTGATACGACTGGTTTAAATAGAGTTTATTGCACTGACTTGAACTCGATCAATCTATAATTATTGTTTCGCCTTTTTACTTTCTTAAGGTGCGTTATGCGTAACATTTCGGTATTTGCGAGGATTATTATATTGCGTTATTACGACGGCGCGTCTTTTATATAAAGCGTATGACATTAAATGAGCCTAATTATCTAATGAGTTGTGGCATGGAATTATAAACCTTGAACAACGTTCATCAACCATAACTTAGCAAAATAGAAAGATAACCTTCCCCTTAATGTATTATCGCACTTTAGACTGATTAGTTTAAGTGTTAGCATCTCAAATTAAACATAGATGGTGCATGTTTACTCAAATTCATGAATCTTCTACATAGAGTAATCCTCAAATCGAAGATTGAAATGTGATATGCAGTTTTATGGAGGATAAATCGAGCATCGCTTGCAGTATAATTTTACGTGTACACATTGCATGCTCCCGATATGATCCCAGAAAAATCAATGCTCGCCATGCCAGGCTGTTTAGATGACATTTTGCAGACTCCAGGATTTACAAAACACAAATAGTTTCTGGGCCCGAAGCATTTGTTTTTTCCCCGGCTTCAGTAATTTCGAACATTGTCTTCAATCTGCCTTGTCATCATCGTTTGAGAGTGATCTTGCTAGCTTGCACGGCAATCAAAACAAATACAACCACTTTAGTCTCGGAATAAAGACAAACCTTAGACAGGCAAATTGGATTCATGCGAATACCAAGGACGGTGATATTTCGAAGATGTAATGCATTCCTACAACTCATCTGAAGTGAATTGTAAACGTCCGGGCTGACGGTCGGATATAACGCCATCTTGTCAGGCTGTTTAATACAACTTATCTTTCAAAAAGTCATCCACTGTTTTAGCCTTTTCTTACACTTGAAATCTGAATTCAAGTTGGCGTTCTGATCTTTGGTCTAGTCCCTTGGAATTATTATCCTTTTGCATTACCATGCACGTGTTCTCTTCCATCAGTTTTGTGTCTTTATAATATAAATGAAAATCTATCCAACTGCTACAAATTTTACATACCACGAATACCTTGTATTGTTTTAGATAATTAATGACCTTTCATTTGAGTCTGTTTAAGACCTTTCGTTTTTAAAGCAACTTATGTGCCTTTAAACATATGTTAAATATCCAAATATTATTGTTCATGGGAAAAATGACAAATGACACTTACCTGAATTTCCATTTTGGATGGCAATAACTAATGCACTTCTGCCGTCTTTATCCGATGAGTTGATGTTTAAATCCGGGGCATTGTCCAAAGCATATAGGATCGCTTTCTTGTCTCCTTTTTCAGCCGCAGCCAAGAAGAGTTTCTCCATGGAGTCAAACCGTCCCGGTCCAATATCTAACTCCATTCCGGCTACCGACACCTAACGATCACAAAGAATCAAAAATGCCAGTTGAGGAAGTAAAATAGATAATGTCACAAATATCATGAGGTTATGATGGTCCATGAGTTTTATGTTCGTTTAGATCCATTAATAACGTGAGGAAAATGGAAGGCGAGGGAGGAAAAAACGAATCGCGCCAATGGGCAGATTAATAGTCGGAAAGCGATGAGACGAAAGGTGGGCTTCTAGAAGGCGAAGGGAAAAAAATGATACCAATGTTCTGTTATAGGTCCAGACTAGTTTGCCGGTGGTTGTACAGCCATTTAAAATCCACATAGACAGGCGATGTTAGTTTAGGACGAGCAAGGCCCATACTGGTTTATTCAATTGGTATATTCCAGGATGTACTGTTGTTTGGTGCATTACATTGCTTGCAATAACTTTAAAAACGCGGTCGGGAGTCACTTATGGGTGGGCAATATGATATGAGATTTAGCGTTTTTGGATGGCAACTTGATGCGTTCGTGCGAGAAAGGTAGGATGCAGTGCGTAAGTGCATACTCACACACACACACACACCCGCACCCACGCAGAACACACAAACTGAGGCATCTCAGCGAGATTGGTAGAGGGGTAATGAAATTGATCAGCGCATGCGTATATCACTCACTTGGGCATGTGTTAATGAAAAATATCATATCTGAAAGATATTTGCCACGTAGATTAATTGTATCTGATCAACGAAGGGTAAAAGTTGATGGGTAGCAAGTCCGTACGTTTATACAAAATAAACGAATGATACAATAACTATTCATAACATAAGCCTATTTTTATTTTATATTAAAAGAACGCGGAATGATTGCATCTTGTCTATACCGACACTTATTTTTTTATAAGACTTACCATATCTCCAGTTATACTGACGACAAAAGTTTGATGACCTTTATTTTCTTATCTGTATGAACGTTTCCGATATAGGCCTATCATGACTTATTTTTATCATTTGTTACATATTATGTCCATTATCGTGAATGTTATTAATTGTGTTTTCTGAAATACTTATGTACTTATGAATGGAATAACAACACGTTTCCAATGTGTTTGGTAAAATACAATATACATGGTAATAAAAATATGTATGTTTTGGTTATAAATGTGATTACCTATAAACTACTCAACTGTTATGTTTAATGATAGTACAACGCCTACTATAAAATCGTTTTACTTTTCTTTTAGTATTGTTTTATTAGCTGTTATGGATTTATAAATTAAAAATAACAAACATATATTATATTTCAAAAAAATTTAAAGTACTTTTTCTGTCAGCATTTTCAATACGTTATCAAACTTAGATTTCTCCATTTCTCCCGAAGACAATTTATTGAAAAGCTGTTTTTATTAAATACAAGGTGAAAATTTAAAAATCCCTGCAAAAATTATTTCATAGACATTAGAAAAATTCAGAATGTAATTTCAACTCAGTTGTAAAAAAAAAAACATGAACAAGACATAGACATTTCTACAACCTCTTAACTACTCTTGTCGATGTATTACGAAAAAAAGAAGGAAGAATAACTCTTTCACAATTTATTCAGAATAAAATCTGTGGAAATATTCCTGAAATTAAATCAACACATGACTTATATAAATTATAGTTGCAAATTAGATTTAATGAATTCAGACACGTCTAAACATGGTTGACATCTGTTCGAACAATAATTGTACATCTACATCCTTATAACATGCTCTAAAAGCATCCAATGAAACAAAATGTTATGTTTTTCCCTTGGCGTACACTGTGTAAATACACGCATCACACCTATTTGATCAGCGAGTGAAGACTTTCTACTATTTGATTTGCATTATTGTATATCATCCGTGGAACTCCGAACAATGCTCATTCTGCGGTTACATTTGATGATTACCATGCTTCAATAGTGTTTGACAGGATATGATCAATACCTGTCTATCCAGTTTTTAGAATAATGTATGACATGTAAGAACTGCACTTAATAATGATATTATATCCCAAAAATGTATTGTCTGAAATTCCTATAACTTTTCTATTTTTACTGGAAACCGACGAGTAGACGTCAGTTCCTATTTGAATTTCGTGAATGCGTGTAAACTATAAATAGGAAGTATTTAATATGGCTCATAAAGAATAAGGAATTAAATGGTAAAAACCAGTTGCTTGACTAGCTAAATGATGTAAAAGAAGTCGACAAGACAGGAATATTCTTTTTAAGAAGAGATTTTTGGAGTATTTTTTGTCCTGAGTTTAAATACAATTGCATGACGAAAGAAAATTAGTTTTACTCAATTTAATTGTAATTTCTTTGATGGTTCGTTTGTTTTTACCAAACTACTAAGAAAGCATATTTGTGCTTGTAGGTAACCAACAAAATTTAAACAAATGGTGCAGAAGGAGGGAGACAATGGAAATATATATAAATGAGGAAAGCATGAACGAAGAAACAATCGTTGAACATGCTAAATGTAACGATCGAACAGGGATCCTATTATTAAAAAACGGTTTCCACTCCTGCACACTAAATCCATAGCCCTAGGAAAGACCCTACTACATATGATAAATACATTGCTTGTTCGGTAATGCGTGACATCTATGTTAATAAAAGTTCACTGGTGCATCGCTAACGCCAATTGATATTGAAGTTCGCTTCCACATGTACATCTATCCCATCTCATACTCCTAATCGATAAAGGGCCGCGGAGTATTTTTGATAATAATGGCGTCCCATTTACACTGTTCTTGGGGGCATGTGAAGAAGGTCCCTAATTTTTCATTCCGGGTCGACGATCACCAGTAATGCCGATCGTTTATGCTTGGCTAATCTTATCTGGTATTGCATGTCGTCTGTTAAGGACCAGAAGGGTGTTGTCGTCGTGCCGAAGTGTATGAGGTGACGTCCTTCTGGTTCCGAACTGACGATATTGGAAAGTCGATATGACTTCTTTTTTATTTTGTTCCAAGTCCTACGTGAGCCGCTCATTTACCTAGTCCCAGCGTCTGCTTTGGTGAGCATGCGATGTTAATATCCGAGAACAGCGGGTATGTTTTCTTATAAACAGAATATATAATAGCATGTCCCACCTGCCTGCAGTCTTCACCCTTATGACCGTCAATGCAGTGAATATTGCCTTTGTAAGGTCGGTGGTCATATTAGAGGATATAGTATTCAAGATTCCCAACAACAACGAACACACTTTTACTCGTTGCAATCGGATAGCTAGCACAACAAAAATGCTTTTGATAGAGCTTGAACTGAGACATCTGATGACATTACCGCCTAAATATCCATGTACGATGCACCGTTTCTACTAATAAATCAATGGATAAAATGCGTTCTGGTTTTTAGTGTTGGGGCGATCTTTGTTTAAAAACGAAGCCAATTTAAACGTTATTTATTAACACAGACCTAATAAGAAAGTTAGGAGACACCAGATGCATCAGCCAAGCTACTCTGCTAAGGCGCTGTGGTATTCAGAGAGTTTACATCACATGGGTGGAGAGTGGCAAATGTATATAGATTGATCTCTTCATAAAATGATATTAGTGCCGCGGAGGGACTCGAACCGCGAACCATTTGATCCACAGTCCCGTGACGTATCCACTAGGCCACGACACCTATACGAGATGATGCTCACCCCTCCGTCCCCTCACCCTACCCCTCTCTTTCTGAGCAGTGCCAACCTACACTCTCCATTAACCTTAAGAAGTTCAACCAACCCCTCCCTTGGTAGCAAAATGCCATAGCTCCTTCTCCCCCTAATTGCGTCATATAAACGCGTAGATATTAAGCTAGGCTGCAGCGATGCTTGGGCATGATGGGGGAGCGATGGAGCGCCGCGGTCTGGTGTGTATACGTGTAAGGGCGACGATGCCACGCCACGAGAAGTGCAATATCATTTTATAAAGAGCTACAGGAGACAAGATTGGTTAGGAAAATTAAGTGAAGCCCACCCTCCAATAGAAGACTGACGTATTTTGAATGGCGTTCACAAGAATGTGCGACACGAAATGCACCTGAGAATACGCTTTCTCATCAAAATGTCGGCGATGGTATTTATATAAAAGAATGTTTTTCATCATGGTCGAACATTAAAGTCATATTCAATAATAATGCAAATGTCACAATCATATGTTGTATTTAGTCTTTCGATTCCTATGAAATTTATTGTATTAACATGAATAGATTCAACTGAAGAGGCGAGTTGGACGATACGATTGATTTTTGAGGTGTCATGGTTTAGTGGATACTTCGCCGGACTGTGGATCACATAGTTTGCGGTTCGAGTCCCGCCGCGGAACTAATGCCTTTGAAAAACATTAATCAACTCTCAACCCAGGTGTAGTAAGTGGGTACCTGGTTGGAATGTATTCCTTAATTCTTTTAACACCTTAGTTCAGATGGGCTAAAGCCAAGTTAATAATTCCAATTTGTATGCGCCTTAAGAATCCTTTGGAATGGATACCTGCGCAATATAAATATAGTTATTATTATATACCTCACTTAAGAAATCCATCCATCTGATTGGTCGAAATTGCAGTCATAAACTTTAACTATTCTTGTAAAAATTCCCGGTAAAATTCCAGTTACCATGGTTACCGGGAAAATAGTTCAGTCTTGGTGAAATACCCATAGGTTCACATGTTAAAAACTGGTTTGAGCGATCGAGGATAACGTACTTGTGCGAAGAATTGGTCGTTAATTTCAGTACGGCAATCTCGATCGTACTAAATTCCAAACCGAAGGCAAAAATGGCTGAAGAAACTCTCCCAAGATTTCCACTTCTTGATGATGATCAAATGCAAGACTTGCTGACAGTAAGAACACCAAAAAGGGTACATTAAATTTTTTTTTCCGGCATATAAAAGTATTAATGACTGCTTTAATATTCGAGAAATAATTGTTTTTATACGCTCTCGGGAAGGTTACGATAATTGGGCTATTGCCCTCGGCACGCCTCGGGCAATTGCACATTTGTAACCTTCCCTTAAA